CCCAAGGGCCCCCCAGTCCCGTCGGGTGAGTCGGGATGAGCCAGCAGCAGCTCCTTGCAGGTGGCCGCCGGGTTGGTTTTGGTGCCGTTGGGATGCTCGACGAGGGCTTGCAGCTCCTGGCTCAGGGTATTCAGCAGAGCCCTGACCGCGGTGTAATTCAGGTGGTTGGAGGGATAAATTAGGCGCTAAAATGAAAACAGAAGAGGGGGTTATAACAGAGGTGGTATTAGCCCTCTTATTTTGGCCAGGAGCATCATCAGATGCTCAAGGAGGGGATGGGATGGACAAGGGAGAGGGATTAACCGTATCTGCTTGCTCTTTGTGCAAGGACCTTGGTCCTCGTGCACAGAGGACCTCAGAAGCAGCGGGACAGGGGCCAGCATTGCCATCAGCCCCTTCCCTCCCCGGCTGGCACCCACCACAGCAGGGATGGGAACCCCTCGCCCCATCGCCTCTCCGATGCGCTCACCCGCAGCTCCTCCCTGGACAGCATCAGCACAGGTCCGCTGGGTCCAGGGGGGCCGGCGGGACCCTGGGTGACAATGACAATGCTGGTCACGCGGGCTGCCACCCATGAGCCCCTCACCGTGCTCGTGGCTCCTCCGACAGCGTCCGCCGCCGGGCCTGCCCCCGGGACCTCGCCGCCAAATCTGGGGGAGCCAGGGACCCAAATCTTGGCACAAGGGACATTAGCAGCTCCACTTACCGGCAGGCCTGGCATGCCTTTGGGTCCTGGCAGCCCTGGGAAGCCTTTCAGCCCCTGCCAAAGGAGGAGGAGGTGGGAAGCAAAGCAAGGTGGTGAGATGCTGCTGTGCTGAGCAGCACCCCGGGGTGCCCCACGGGGCCACCCTGCATCCTGGGGAGAGGGCAGGAGAGGAGGGTGCCCGCAGCTTAAGGCGCTCTCCTCTACTTACTTTGGGTCCGGACGAGCCCTGGAAGAGAAGGACAAGACCCAGCTAAGAGGGAGGCAGGTGGGATCAAAGTCCCGTAACCTCCACAGGGCCAGGAGCGAACCCCAACCCTGCCGGGGGGGAAAAGGACTCACCGGTGTGCCAGGGATGCCAGGGTGTCCCCACGGGCCAGGGGGGCCAGTGTCACCCTGCAAAGACATTGGAAGAGGTCAGGGCACTGCACGGGGCATCCCCCAGCCCTACGTCCTTCTACAACCCAGCCCCTTCCCCAGGTGGATTTGCATGGAAAAATGGGGAGTTCACCCCAAATATTCATCTCGGCTCATGCTGTCTCCCTCCACGCTGCCCTTACCTGCTGTCCCTTGGGTCCCGGCCTCCCAGGGGCACCGTGGGGTCCCAGCTTGCCCTACAAGACATGGCAGGGTGTCACATAGGGTGATGAGAGACGAAATGGGGGGGAGAATAAAAGAGCAAAACCCTTCACGCACCTTGAAGCCATCATCCCCCCGCTGGCCCGGGTCACCCACACTGCCCTTCTCACCCTAGGAGAGAGTCAGGGAGAGCTTCAAGAGAGAAGTGGAGGGTGGAAACCCCCCAGGACACCAGCCTGGGAAGGGGCTCTGCCCCAGAGGGTGGGCATTGGAACCCTGTTCTAGTCACTCTGTCGTGATATTTCACCAGGGAGGCAACGGGGGTTTTGCTGGCTGCCTGGCCCTGGCAGGAGATGCCTGCCTGGGGCCATTTCCCAAAGCCAAACATCTCCTGGCCTCCAGCAAATGGCTGGAAATGGGAAATTCTCAATTATGGCCGGCTGCAAAATTTTTTTGGGAAAAAAAAAAATCCCATTCTTTTGATTTGGTAGAATTAACCGTTCCCACGTTGGTGGGGGAGGAGGCGGCGTGATGGAGTGTCTGCCTCTCCGGCTCAGCCACAAAGGCAAAACTGAAAGTGTTTTACCCCTGACTAAAATAGCATTGAGGAAAACCTTGGAAGTTCCCAGGAAACACTTTGAAAAACTACAAGTCCTTGTGTGCTGAGATCTGGTGGAGCAGAGGAAGAAACCCCAGCCCAGCAGCCACCCCTCCGCAGCTCTCCCAAGCTCAATGCTCTGGACTTCAGCTTCTGCCACCGCTCCTTCAGCTGGCAATAAATTTAAAGCTTTATTTATTGCTGGGGTTTCATTTTCCCGAAGGCTGTGAGCAACCACCCGCTGCCAGGGACTGCCTGTCACCTTTTGTTCCAGCCTTGCAGCTGATGGATGGGACCATGACCATGTGCTGGGCTTCCTGGGCCAAGGTTGGCTCCACCAGCTCAGCGGCAGCAGCACCACAGAGGTGTGTGCCCACGCTGTGTCAGCATCAGTGCTGAGGGCAGGGGATTAAAAGACTGTACATGCTGCTGCTTGCAACCCCAGGAGGATGGAGAGGATGGAAAAGACCTGGATTTGGAGAAAGTCTAAAGGTCCTGTCTCCCAGCACTTGGGGACACAGTGGTCAACCCCCAAAGGGATGCTGCGGTGATCAGGGTTCAAGAAGAGGGGAAGAAGTGATTGCATCCAGCCAATTAAATAGTAGCTTGTGCCTGAATCCCTGCTGTGCCCGGGGCTCGAGTGCCCGGTGTGTGTCACCTACCGTGGGTCCTTTCGGGCCGGGGTCTCCTTTCACGCCCTTCAGCCCTGGGATGCCCTAGGAGAGAAACGACGTGGCACCGCGTCACCCCGCAGCCGAGCTGCTCCCGTCGGCTCCCTGGCATCGGCTCCCTGGCAGGGAGGGACCTCGCCACAGCCCAGGCTGGCTCAAGGATTCTGAGAATTTCAGGCAGTTTTAGAGACTTTGAGGCTTTTCTCCTCCGTTTTTTTTTCCTTTTGATGGATCTCTCCTTGCCCGCAGTAAACCCCATTAAAAATCAAAGAGTCATAGAACAGTTTGGGTTGGAAAGGACCTTCAAGATCATCTATTTCCAACCCCCCTGCCATGGGCAGGGACACCTTCCACTACACCAGGTTGCTCAAAGCCTCATCCAACCTGGCCTTGAACACTTCCAGGGATGGGGCAGCCACAACTTCTCTGGGCAACCTGTGCCAGTGCCTCACCACCCTCATTGTAAAAAATTTCTTCCTTATATCTAATCGATATCTCCCCTCTTTCAGTTTCAGTCCATTGCCCCTTGTCCTATCACTGCACACCCTTGCAAACACAATTCAGGTCCCTTGGCTTGTTGCAGAACATCCTGGCTTTCTTTTGTGACATTTCCAAAGCCAGGATTTATATTTTAAACAGAGAAAAAAAAACAGTTTCTAGTGATTAAAAAAAAATATTTGAGTAGTTTTTTTTGGCCAATGACGGCTGCTGCAGCACAACTGGTGCCTCCGGCCACAGCAGCTCTTTGGGAGCACGGGCACAGCCCTGCTCGAGAGAGTCCTCTGCAAGTGCTTGGCACTGCCAGGCATCAGAGACTTATCCAGAGAGGGAAGTATTTGGCCTCTAGAACAACATATTGGGAATTATCTGACTGCATGTGCACTGCTGGGCTGCTAATTCAGGAGGAGAAGACGAGATGAGATGGATGAACGATGGGTGGATGAAACACTTCGCCTGTTTTGAAAGGGTCTCTGCTTTGGTTGTTGGCAGAGCTGGGTTGCACGGTGGTACCTGTGGGGGCTAAACGGGGAGCGTGGGCACCCAAAAACCTCCCAGCTAATACTCACATAGGGTCCTTGGGGGCCCTGGGGTCCGTCTGGCCCCTCGCCACCTGGGTCGCCCTGAAACGCAAAAGCAAGAGACCCTGGCTGGCGGGCAGCACAGGAGCAAGGCAGAAGC